TTTAAAATCTGAAGTCACTTCAGTAATTTTGATCTGTAGCAATAGCCTTATCTAGCGTTGCTGTAGTTGTGCATGAAGATTATTTTTTTCTGTTCGCTATTTTTGTGAACTTCCTACTTTAGGATTTATTATGGGGTTTATTATAGATGGGCTCCCACTAAATATAGCTTATATGGAATTCTTAGAATCACATTTTTTATGTTAATTCTTCTGCAGCAAAAGAAACTTCAACTGCCGTACAAAGAGCTGCCTCAGCCTGTTGCTCTGCTGTCTTATCAAATCAGTTTTGGAATTGTGAAAAAATGCCTTGTCCCTTCCTAAATACTCTGACATTTAAATAGGCAGTGACTATTCATTTAAAAAATGAATCTGAGGGGTAGGAATATCCTGAATATGGTATGGTACTGGAAACCAAATATTTTTATTTTTTTTAATATCATAGTATAGTATCTGTAGATCGATGTGAGAGCGGCAACAACAAAAGAAATTTTCAGTGAGATCATTCAGAGTTTTTCTCTCTCAGAAGCTGTTTTATACTTGGACTTCCACCTACATGATTAGGAATACGTGTAACTGCAGTATGATTTCAATGGATCTTGGTTAGTATCTTTGTTATCTAGATGTATTTCTATCAGTACAGAAATTTTCTGGAAACTGAAACTATCTTCCAGCTTTCAGCTCTGCCCCCATACTACCTGTCTCTTTCTTACTTCTTCCTCTGTACTAAACCTCCTTCTCTGTAGAAGATGTTTGATAGATCACTGGAAAGGAAAGGAATCACTCCTTTTCAGGCAAGCAAGTAAAACACAAATACCAAAACAAAACCAAAACATTAATTGCTTAGTGGAAGCCCCTTTCTGTGGTTGAGGCTCTGTCTTTGAAGTCATATTTTGTTAGTGACTTCAGGCATGCCTGTATCTTATCACAGCATATCCCCCCATTGTATATTACTGCTCATATCATTTCACAAAGACAGGGAATAGTAATGATCTTTCCCAAAGGCCCCCTTGCTTGAAGCACTGAAAGCTTTTTTTCCCCCCTCAGAAAATTCAATAGCCAAGAACCTCACAGTGTGTGGGATAACTCCTAGTGATATTATTCTAACACCGAAAGGAAGCAAAGAAGTGGTATGTATTATTTTACTGGCTACCAGAGAAAAGGTTGTCTTTAAAAATATATGTGCTTTTTGCATGTGCTTTGTAACAGACATACAGCCTGAAGACTGGCATATGACAAGGGGAAACCAATAAAAAATACATAATGATGTTATAAATATTTATAGAATAGCTAGATGAGTATAATATGACAGGGAGAAGCCAAGCAGGCTTTTAGAATAGCAGAACTGTGCTCTAAAATATATTGGAATTTTTCTGAGTGAGTTACAATGGGGTAAAAAGGCATTGCATAGGCTGTCAGGGACATTCACAACACTTTGATTAAAGTAATTTCTGAGCAACCATGAGAAAAGCTTCATCAAAGAAGTGCAGCTAAATAGAAGCTGGAAAGCAGAGAAGGGAAAAAGTTTTCAGAAGCGATGAAGTATTCACAGATGGTCCCAGTAGAAACTTGTAGGGATTGATGATTGATTGATTTGTAACCTCGGAAATTAGGGAAAGGGTTCTCTGTGTTTCCAGCAGGATTAGAAATGATACAGCTTTATCTGAAGACTAGGAATTTTCCAAGTCTGCTAAAAGACTTTTTTCAAACTATATTTTGGATATAACTGCCTGTTGATGTAGTTTTGCATCTGTTAATACATACGTCTTTAACTTAGGCCTGTAAGACTCCAAGGTTTATAAGCAGCCAATAGAAAAATAAGAGAGGAAATAAGTTTGGTTCCATAAATGCAAGTAAAATTTTCCTATAGTCATCCTCCTGTCCTGTAGAAATCAGGCCTTAGTGCACGGCTAATTCATCTACAGCAGGACTTTGACCGTGGGAATTGGCTCCATTTGTTCTTTGTGTGAATGTAAACACCAAGAATAAACTGAAGGTTTTGGAGGGGGGAATTTATTCTTTTTTGCTTGTGCCGCAGGTGGTTGAATTTGCTCAGTCTGCAAAAGCTGCAAAAGTACATAGTGAAAGAGAAAGCTATACTAAAAATGGAAGAAACTGTGCAAAAGACAAGCTCGTTCTGCCTTTAGCAAAGGCCCACAAAAGCTTCTTTCGGTGGAGATATCCATGTCTGTGGACAGGTTATTTTTGCTGCTGAATTCTTACATATAGAATCCTCTTTACCGTTAATCCAAACAGAGCACAATGTCATTAATGATTGGGTCAGGGTGCTAATTATCTTTGTGAAAAATGGATGGGCAGACAGTCCAGGAGATAGATGCTTCCTAATTTGTTAAGGGCTTTTAAAGATAAATGGCCTTGAAGTAGATTTGTTTTCAAATGAATAGCCGGTAGAGTGCTCAGAGCAGTGGCACAGTGAGCTCTCATCCGTTTTTCTCAGGGTGATGAATGTTGCATATTCTGTCTGTTGACGTGGTCTTTGCCTTCAGATGTCCCAATTTATTAATAGTTTTTTAGGGCAATGGTGGTAAATTACTGCAGCCCAATTTTATTACTGTTTTACGTCTACTGAGGACTGAGCCCTGTGTGCAGCTTTGTATTAACTCAGCAAGCACCATTAAAATATTGACATTTAGACTCATTTTGGTGGCATTAATCGTAGCATTAATCATAGCATTTTATCATGTGTTAATTGCATGAAATGACTGGTTTGAAATAACTGGAATGTTCACTTTTCTAAAAGCAGGAGAAGCAATAATTTCCATTTCTCCACTTTTTCAATCTATAACTGTGCTTTAGAGAACTCAAACAAACAACCCAAAACTCACAACCCGCCGCTTCTGAGTGTGTATGTTGGGGGCATCTACTTCTTGGCTTCCTTGCAACAACTGAACATGTAAGCTCCAGGAGTTCTTATGGGCCTCACTGGAAACTCTGGGAAGTGTCATCTCTGAAAATCATCCTCTGAAGTCTCAGTATGAATACCCACAGCCAGGCCTTGGCTTCAAAAATGTACCTCAATATATATAATAAGAGTACTCCTGATGTGCAAAAAATGCTGAAAATCTATAGCATTTTCATATGATGATATAGCTTAAGAGTTTCAAACAGGCACAGAAATGCCTTTTGTTATTCACCAGCAGGAACAGGCTTCCAGCACCTGTGTGTATTAGTATTATCGTATCAGTAAAAGAACCTGTGATATTTGCTGGCTCTTTTCAGTGGAGGACATCACTAGATGATTATGTTTAATATGAGGAGCTGGCAGGCTTTCTCACTTAACAATCATTAGGAGATCTGCTGCTGAGGTCCCATTTTGTGAGGCAGTTGGAAATTGGCACTTAGTTTGAATGTATTGTTTTCAACCTTTCTCCTAAAGTTCAAGGACAGGGCAAAACTGCTCAGACTCCACAAAGAAAAAAAGTTTTTTCACTTTCCTTTGTTTACTTGGTCCTCTGACCTCTCTGTTTATTCCCTATGAAAATTTATTCCCAAAGTAAATTTATTCCCCCATATATACATGAATTAAAAGCAAGTGTGGACCATGTCATCAAAAATGGAAGTGGAAGGCATGAGGGGAGGTATTTCAAAGCACCACACAGAAGATAGTTATGATAATCGTGGACTTTTTGTTGGGGTAAAAATTATCTAGGTCTTCAGTTACGTTTCTCTTGATACTTTTGAAGGAGGACAATACTGTTACTTCTGTGTTAGGGACCTCAGGCATAAAATGGCTCAGTGGGGAAACCCTAAATCACTCAAAAGGGAACATGCAGAACAGTGGTATCTCAGTCTCCTAACCTTCACTTTCTGCTCCTAACCATGCATTTAATTAATTATTTTAAATACTGCTCCTCCCAACTCTCACCCCAAGATGTTCCTACGTCTTCAGGACTTTGACAACCTATATTTTCCCTGGTAACATCGTATGGCTTAAGCCACAGCTTCATCTGTAGCCTTCTGCCTCCTGCTGTACAGGATCTTCTCAAAAGCTTAAAAGACTTTCTAGTGATAGAGGTTTTCTTTTTTCAATTACAGTGGCTTCATATGACCAAATAATGCTTCATTAACCTGATTGCCTAAGGATATCAAGCTCCAGAGGAAACTCGTATTCCTATATGATTGGCAAGATAATTAGGAAGTAAAATAATGCAAATCCCACCACAGGCAGCCATCAAAAGATTTACGTATTTACTCTTTGAATTCAAAGTGTGTCATATCATAAATCCTTTTTTTCTTTTAAGGCTTTTATATCTGTAGGTTTATTATCGACCTTCACAATGCACATTTTGCTGGGGCAGGAGGCTTTATGAGCTCAATCAAGTTGGGCTGGTAAATCCACCGAGATTTTTAGTCTGCAGTATCACCTAGATAACACAGGCTCAAGTACACTTTTGCTTTTACTAGCTTTTGATTTGAAGCTCCTGGGTCATGGACTTTCATTCTTTATTTAGAAAGTGTCTACTCGAGTGGATCTACCACAGTTAGAGCTTTTATGTGATATTAAAACGCAGGCACAGAAGTCACTGATGGCTGCAAGAGTTCTGCATCTGCCAGGAGGGTGGAATATTGGATGTAGGTTAGAGACATCTTCATATGAAGTCTCCTACAACCTTCCCTGTTAATAGAGGGCAGAGTAAAGCTCATGTCGGTATTTGTTGCATCTAGGCAGCAGCAGCAGCAGCAAGTGGGAGATTAAATCAGAGAGCTGTATAGATATGGGGTCCTGTTGAGGGTGGCCTTCAGTAAGTAAAAGTCACTTATAAATTAAACATTTAATAAACCCCTACCAAGGAAAAGGTATCTAATGAAGTTCTGACAGCTTCTCTATCTGAAAACGGTGAAACCTAAGAAGCAAGGAAATTTGTGGAGTTGCTCTAAGGTGGTTGGACTAAAATTAATCTGGCAAAAGGAAAATAAAATACAAAAAAAGGGAGAAAAAAAATCAATATTCTTGCTAATGAGAATCAACATTTATCTTGCAGGAAACCTGAAGTTTTGCCTTCTGATTCTGAACCAGCCTTTAAACAAAGGTCATTTTCATTGTCTGTGGAGCAAAGGTAATAATAACTTACATACATCTTCATTTGCTTATTTACTTAGCTGCTACCTGGCTAATGTACTTCATGTCTGTTGAATTGCAGTCTGGCAATTTCCTCTTTGCTAGAGCAACCTTCTGGTGAGGGCGTGAATTGGCAGAATATGTCCCTTGTTGCTGAATGCAGCAAATGAGCTGATTATGCAAATTTTGCATCTCTGCATTGCATACGTCAGTGGGAAGTTTATGGACTGATCTGTGTAAGACTGTAGCTTTTCAGAGGCAGCTTAGGAACGATCATTGTTTTGCTGACAAAATGTAGCAGATCAATGGTGCGTATAAGAGTCTGGAAGCAAGCGTTCCTTTAAAGGTCGTAAGTGAAATGTGTTAATTTTAATCAAAATAAAATGAACCGTGTAGATATTAAGTTGTGAAAGCAATGGGAATTTGCGTGCTTGTCAGAAATATGCAAATCAGATTTCGCTACCTCTTTGTTAAATATGCACAGTGCTAATCATCATCTCTGGTATGATAACTTCAGGTTTACTGACATTTTGTGGAGATATGTAAATCTCTACAAGCTTGGAACTATTAATTCCACCAGTGCAGGAATGTAGTCCTTCAGAAGCTTTCTGAAAAGCCACAGGAACTGTCTCTAACTTGTTACCAGGTTTTGAACTTTGCAGAGAGATTCCTCTTAACTGACTGGGGAAGATAGAGCTATTTGATTTCACTGTAGGCATAAGGACTGGCAGGGGGTAGCTGTACAGTTGAAACAAATTGGAATAAGTGGGCAGGATGTATTAGTATCACTTAATTCCAGTAAACCCAAATTAGGTGCCTATGTAGCCAGACAAGTGAGGAAAAAAAGGGAGAGAGCTTCACTAGATGATTCAAAGCATCTGAACAAGAGCTGTACCCCAAATGAGCTCTCTTTCATTTGCATAATCAGCAAGAAAGGGAAGTGGAAGGGCTGTCAAGTTATTTTATAGATATGATTCTACTTATTTTTGCATTTAAAAAGATACACTGAGAGACTTGTTCTGTAATAAATAATGCAGGAAAGAAGGTGAAATATATTGATCTTATTTCTTTGTCCCACCTTTCCTGTTTTGAGGGTTGAGGTTAAAAAAAGACACAGCAAATCAGACATGGACAGTTAATGGCAGTATTCAGTGTGTTGTAGTACCTTGCATATGTTGCTTTTGTGTTGTGTTCTGTTAATCAGACTTTGTTTTCGTCTGTCCTTTAGAATTTTAAGTCTTCCTCTTTTGATCTAACCTTGCAGCATGGAGGGCTTCTAATTGTAACATTAATGGTCTCTTAATTGTAGTGCTTCTAAGACCACCTAGTGTGAAACTACCACAATGGGTTCCTGTTCCTTGAGCATAATTGTGTTGAAAGTGATTATTGGTGCTGGGAATAGTTTTCCAAAGAGTTTGTGAGACTTAGTAGCAGAAGTCCTATCTAAGCTAATAAGACTTTTGCTGGTAGGTTACTTTCAGAAATAGGTGGATATTTTCTATCTAAGTAAAATGACAGAGGAAGGTGGTGACATAGTGGACCTGAAGTGTTCTTCTTCAAAGCATCTTCAGTAAGCTTTAGTGAATCCAGGAAAAGGTTTTGACATTGCCTGGATTACAATTCTAGTGGACTACTGTAGATGTCAGCAATCTTCTGAATCCTACTTCTGAAAGAGTTTCAGCAGAGAGACTGTTGCAGGACTAGGAGAACCTGGGGAATTTGGTGTGTGAACTGAAAGAAGTTCTGAAAGAAGGAAACATCCTTAGAAACTGTGAATCCACAGAATATTGCCAGCTACACAAATTGAGGTGAAAAGGGAGAGAAAAATGGAAAGGAATAGAAGGAAGATAAAATATTGTCCAACTTCTTAAAGCTACAGCAATCTTGGGTGTTGCACTGAGTACAGAATGCTGAGACGTTATTTTCAACTAGGTTGTGTCCTGTTAAAATAATTCATTTCATTAGCCTTGTCAGTTTAGCATCAAGTGAAAATGAAGGTGTGATTGATATGTCCTGAGTTTAAAAAAAAAAAAATCGCATCAATAAGTATGGCTATTCTAGGCTAAAATCATCCCAGGTGTAACTCCCCTTGACCTCAAGAAGAAAGTGGTTGCAGCTAATTAGCCTTTGTCTTATTACACACTTGTGAGAAATCTATTTTTACTGACATACTTTTGAAAAGAACTATTTCAGTCTGTACAAGTTCGCATGAACTTCCTTCCCTGTGCATTGTGAAGGACACTGATCAGTTTTCATCACTTCCAAAGGACATCTTTTACCATTCCCGCCATACGAGCGGGATAAGTGACAATAGTGAGTTAGTACAAGTTAAAGATTATATGGTTTTAGTCTATTATATTCATTATGTAATAAATCAATCTAGAACATATTCCCTTTGTGTTAGGTACAGTCACGTGGTATTAGTGCTGCCCTACAGGATGGAGTTTCGGGATGAAACAGTGGAGAAGGGATAGTTTGCAAAATCAGGATGAAGAATTACATGACAGAAAACATTTGGTTGTTCCCTGAAGGATTTATTGGCTTGGGTATGGTGAGAAGGGGCAAAGCAAGTGGCAAGCGAAATTGAAGAAAATAGGTCAATAAAGGGGAATAGGTAAGGGGAAAAGCTCTCACTGTAAGTGAAGCTGATATAAGAAGACTGAATATGGAAAAGTGAGGTGGATGCAGAGGGTTGGAAGTAGACTATGAGTAAGCATAAGGCTGGAAACATCAGTCAAATCCATCAAAAGTGCTTTGACCGTAGCTGCTAAGGCAGTGGTTTTTACCTGAGGAAGATGTATGGATTCCCTTGCAATCTTGATCCTAATGGTGGAAAATATATGGAAGAGTCAGGGTCCTGCTTTCCTCAGAGCTGCACATTTTTCTGTCTGTGAAGTCCCTGTAAGGAAGACTAGATCCAACATGGCTTTACCTTAACAACACCCTTACACATTCTAAATTCCTGCTTATGTGAAGTTTCTAGCTCCTGATTTGAATCCTGTTTAATAAAAAAAAATGGTTTTGAAAAAATCCAGTTTGCATTAGTCTTTAGGGCTACTTTGCAAGTGGTTTCACATGTAAATATATCTTTAACAGAAATGACTCTGAGTTGAAAGTCTAAAGCTGTCTTTATGTTAAGTTTGAAAAGTACAGAAGCCCAGGCTTTAGTGGCTGAAAATAGAGTGGACTTTCTGGAGAGTTAAATGAAAGTTCCCGAGGCTTTGATTCTGCTTTTTAAAATCTCATTAATCAGAAATGCAATGACTTACTTATGCCAAGAATTTCAGCAATGACTAGTGATTGCAAGTGCTTCTGTTTTTTGATGTCTCCCTAGGGAAGAGGCAGAATTATTGCAGTGCTGAGAAATTACCTCTGTAAAATTGTCTCAAGTTCAGGATCTGAAAGTTGTTCTTGTTTCTGAAAACATTGTCCCTACAAGCTACTCAAATGATCCAGAATTGTCTTTATGTCTGTCACTTGATGATAGGATGTTAAATGTCTGTACTTCGTAGAGTACTTTCCTTTCTTAAATGTTGACAGTTACAGCTGTAAAGAGCAAGGAATTATACTTTGAAAAATAAGATTATTATTTCAAGAATCAGAGTAAAATGGCAACATTCTACAGCAATCTGAAGAAGTTGTGCTTTACAGTAAGAAAATGAGTCCATGGATGTTTTTCAGTTCTTTCAATGGTTGTGATACATTGGCCACTGTGTCTTCCTCAAGAGGATTGTGATCTTTTTCTGCAAATAAAGATGTTCCATGAAAGCTTTTAATCAAACAGAACATGCTGAAGTAGTTTAAATATTAGCAATTTATACCAAATGCCCTTGGCTGATGTACTAGAATAAACTACCAACATCCTTTTAGAACGGGCTGATTGAATCCTGACAGGGATTCAGTATTTAATGTAGGAAAAGCAGATGGGAAGGAGATGTCTGTGAAACTGGACTGCAAAAATATGTGCCCTTCAGATGTACATCTCTAAAAAGTCCCTTTCTTTTCAGTGAAGGAACTCAGGGTCTAGCTATGTTTTCATATGCTGCTCTACTGACAACACTGCCATCCATGTCTCTATATGCGTAGTATGTAGTCATCTTATGACACTTTGTAGATTGTGATCATGGAGGAATTCCAGAAAGAGGAGTGTTGCCCACCCTGGAGATTTCAGCTCTATATTTTAGGGTGGAGAATCTGAGTTAACAGAATGCATTCTTCCACAGCAGCAGTGTAATAACTCAATTTCAAACTCTGTTAAATTATCTTCATGTAAATGGTATTTTTTTACTCTATTTCTGTTGTGATTGCTTATCCATAAATTGAGCTTTTTGCAAGTTTCCATCTCTGTCAATACCGCCATTGCAACAATCAAAGTGTCTAGTGGATTTTAAATTGTATCTTGAATGTGAGGCAAATTCCTCTCAAGGTCAGCCTACAGTGTGGTGAAAATGCTGCTAATGAATGGATGGTTAGCACCTGGAGGTGACTGTGCATTACAAAATATCTCCTCTTATATGTAATCAAGTTGGGAAAGGTGCTAATTTGTATCTCCAATTTCAGAATCATCTGTCTTTGAATGCCACATGCTCACATGCATTTTATGCTCCCTATGCTTTTGTCTCCAATCTAATTGATGACTGATATTTTGAATGTCTTCAGTTGAGGTCCAAGACCTGTATGTAAAGGTAAATAAGATGCAAGTGGTGATGTAAAGCTCAGGTAGATATACAGAGGGGAAAGTAACAGATTACTTGGAACAGTTTTATTTTCTCAGAGCAGAGAAAAGGATGTTGTACTTTAATAATAGGAGGAAAATAGTCTGACTTTTCCTAGTGCTATTTTTTCTTTTCCATGATTGATACCTTTTCCTCCATTGTCTTTAGTGGTTGAACTCAACTACACTTCTGGAATTATTGCCATTGAATACAGCCCTTCACTTTCCCTTTTGCCTATCATCAATGAACTTGCCTTGTAGGCATATGGTGAGCTTTTTTCTCG